TTCTGACAGAAGATCTGACAGAAGATGGAACTGCATGAGATGTTGCTACAAAGATTTGCCTTGAAAACCACACACTCTTCTCCTCCCTTCACCATCAGTCTGTGCAGTATTAGACAGTCTACTTTCATTCATATGTATCATTAACATATATAATTAGCTTCTACTGTTTCTGTGTAAGTACCTAAAGTTTTCAAAGTCCTGTCTGAAAGTTTTGGAGTACTACTGTTTTACGAGTAAAGTCTTCAATTCATCAGATGCACAACAAGATTTTAATGTAGATCACAAAAACATGACCCATTATAATGAGCTGCCAAAAGGACTGAAAAAAAGAGAAGAAATTGCCAAGTTACCTGACAGGCCAGATCTCTACACATTATGATAATGTGAATGGCCTTCTCTCATGTAAACAACATTTTAATAAGTTAGCATCTGAACAAACTACAGACGTAAACTCATCAAACATTAAATCATGGCAAGAAACTACATGAAGAGGACTATGGAGAAGATCAGGGCCCAAAATCATGATTCACAGTGACATCCTGGGGGTAAATGTGAAGCTGCCTGCACTGTTTTTTTATGCAGGAGATGCCTCCACGAGCCTCCAGCCATCTCCTCTGCACAGGACTCTGTGCTACAGGAGCTGTGCCAGCACCCATCCTCAGGAATACAAAGCAAACTTGACTAACTTGGTGAAATTCTCACCACAAAGCAGCTGCAGGAGTGGAACAACAATAAACTGAGAATCTGGAGGTCTGGATTCTCACCTAAATAACATCTGCCTGTTAAATGAAAAAGACAGGACATCTTACCAATATCTCGAAGCAGTAATGAACAAAAACCTCCAAGTCCTGCAGAAACATTTCATGGTGCAAAATAAACCTCACCCAGATATGATATGAAGTCTCAAATATAACATCTGTCATGGAGCTTCAAGAAGCATAAAGGAAGTCATTCAAATTTGGTAGGAGTAACCTAGTCAGTCAAACTCCTAAAAGCCCCAGAAAGTAAAAATCTGTTTCTAAAATCAAATAAATTTTGTATCCTTGGTTACTGTTTTCAAGTACAATTTTGCTGCTGAAAATGTGATAATGTTTATGAAAATTTCAGTTGAGAACCTGATAAAGCCAGGCCAGTTAGTGGCAAAAGCCAATGACATTTTCTGTCATGGCTCTTGCTAATTAGAAATCAGACAAAGAACCAGAGCAACTGCTCAGTAAGGCCACCTTTAAGTGGGATGGTTATGTCTGTGAATGTCTAACAGACCTGATTTTGCAAGGTGGATTTTAAGGACCATGCTATTTTGCTTACAGGAAAATGCTGCTATTACTTTATATTTTGAGTAGTGTCCTGTCCTTGAAATGATACCATGTAATACCTGATTACAGGAAAGTTACTTTCCTGCAAATATGCAAATAAATTGCTAATGACTCAAGGAACTTCCAAGCTTAAAGCTCCCACATAACCTGATGACATTAGAAAGAATAGAAACCCACACAGGAGATAGATTATGAAAACCATGATATACAAACAGGAAGCTTGGGTATTTTTTTCCTCTCTGCTTACCCTGAGAAATCTGAAACACACCAACATTTCAACCACTCAAGATCCAATCTTTGAACCAGTATGAAAACAGGCCAGTTTAGGACAGGGAACGTCTCGAGGGTGATCCTCCTGAACCTTCCACAGGAGAAGCTGAAGAGATAAACAATTCCTTTTACAACCTCTGTCTCTGCAATGCTTTTGTGTGACGTCATGCGACCACCATGGTTTGCTCTGTTTGCTCTCTGCAGGCACCTGCACAGGTGTTATCCCAGAGCTGGCACACACCACCAGTCCCAGGTAGGCACCTCTGTGCTCTTGCATTCCACTCACATGAATCACAAATACTCTGTGTGCTGTTCACATGATAGCCTGTCACTGGAGAAGTCCAGAGCACTGGATACATCAATGACTTGACCTAATTAAAACTGCAAAAAAAGAGGGGATGGTATTTTGATTCCTCTTGTTCTGACCTAGAAGAAAACCATATAAACACTCCATCTGGGAAGCAAAAATAAACAAACCTATGCCACCTCCCCAAAACTAGACAAATGTTTCCTGTATTATGTTATTTAGTAAGTGGGTTAAATCAGGACTTGATCTACATGATTTATTTCCCATGTATGTGTTTGAATCAGAATTTCCAGTAGCTAAACTTTGACTAACCCCACCACCCAGTGCTCCTTCTTCGCCCTTTTAATTCCCTAGCAATGTTGGTGATTTTTTTTTAATTTACAAACCAAATATAAGTGAGGCTTCTGGCATCCCTGAACTGTGAACACTGACTACGAGGACATTAACATTATAGAGCTGCATCCCTCTCCATAATTTCACTGTCAAGAGTGGCTCTGCTGACAAGTGGATACAAAATGGAGAACAGAGAAAACACATGAAAGAGGGAAGTGGCAAAGAAATAGGGAAAAGATCATGAAAAAGCAAGGCAGACATTTCTCTGAAATAATGAGCTGGAGGAAGAAATAAAAGTTTTTTTTATTAAACATAGAGTGCAGAGATAAAGTTTCCAATAATATTAGCAAAATTCTCCCTTTGAATTCTGGACAAAACGTATTTTATTGCATCAGGTAATTTTGGATGGATAGACTCTTAACTCTACACCACATGTCATAATTATATATACAATTCAACCCTTACCATCAAGTGATTTTGTTTTTCTGACTTCAGAATTTCATCCAATCTCCTTCTTACATTTTTTAAGATATAAAAAGACAGCGATGGAACAGAAGGCTTTTGCACAATGTAAAGGATCTCACTATTATAGAAAGTAATCTTGTTGACATGTCTTCATGGTTACTGAAAACTAGAAAACATAACAGTAACTCAAACTACAGCTCTGTCTGCCTGCATTTATCACCAGAAAATTCCTTTACAGCAGTTTAAGTTGGACAAGACTCATAGTTTTAGGCTTCAGTACCATACATGGCTAAGCTGATGAAAGAGCTGGTTATCCAGAAAGAGAAGGTTTGCTCCCCTGCTTTCCTTTCCCTGTGAGGTTCTGTCCCTTTTGGCAGCAGCAGGTTGACAGATTAGCTCACCACACCTTGGAGAACCTCACCCAGTGTCTCAGTCTTGAGTCTCAAGCCCTGTCACGGTCCCAAAACAAGTTTAAGTTTCAGTATACACTGAAACAAAGCCCAAATAAATTATGAATAAGATATCTGTGTTTACTTTCACAGAAGGATTTAGCAGAGCAGACAAAGCCATAACCATTTAGAGTCCAGGCTGGATCCAAAAAGAGATTCAGAAAGAAAACTGCGATATTCAAAGCCAAAACAAAACAAAACAAACAAACAAAACCATGATCACTGAGACCTGTTTCTTCTGATATCACAGCAGGGACTCCAGCATTATATTTACTGTCTCGTACACATACACATGCCCCAGTCTCTCCAAACCACAGAGAGAGCGAGGTGTGTCTGACATCCTTGAGCACAATCACCCTTTTCAAGGCAAAGTCATACAACAAGCAATACCAACAGGAAGCAAGAGTCTGCAAATTAAAGGTGTTAAGAGAGCCCTAACACAGAAAGAAGTAGTTACTGTATAGGTGCAAGCCGTGGTAACTCCTAAGTGTTTACTCCTGTGGGCTTCATTGATTTACAGCACCATAGGACAAGGTGCCACTTTTTACAGAGAAAAAGAAGGTTTTTGATATGGGAAGCCAAATGTTTTAAAAGCAAGCTTCCATAACCCATTCAGAATGTGTCTATCTTGCACTGTATTGCTAACAATTCACCTTTCTAAAGCTTGAGATGAAAAGCTAAATGGCCTTGAACACATATTCCCCAACATCAATTATTTGCAGTGATATTCTGAACTTACTACCTGGTGAAGACACCATGGCTTCCACTCCAAAATTAGCTTAACCTGCTACACTTAATTACTTGAGACTTAAGCATGCACTTGGAAGCAAACACATCTGCATCTTTGATATCACAAGGCCTTTTGAAAAGTATCGAGAAGTAGCTTATTCTCAAAAAAGACAGAGAAGGATCAGGACACTGGGAAATACGTGCAATGCGAGCTTAACTCTCCCCAACACCCCTGACTTTACACCTCTGGAAGGGAACAAAACATCCTTGGGAAGTTCACAGGAACAATTCATACCAGCTTGCAAGGCTTCAGGAGCACTCAGGCTGAGATACACCCTATCAGGCAGTTACTCACCCTGTGCTGCCCTAACTAAGCTTTCTTATCGATTTTCCTTTTCTTTTTACTTTTAGAACAGCCCAGGGAGAAGCGAGGCGCTCGCTTGGGGGAAGGCGGGACGCGTTCGGCGCGTGCCCGGCCCCGCCGCCCTCAGCGCCGTTCTCGCGAGACAGCGCCGCGCAGGCTCCATATTGGGGCATCTGTGCTCTGCGCCCGCAGCTCTCGCGAGCGCGAGCCTCAGGA